TTAATGGAACTTTCTGATTTTAAAAGAAGAAGGGGGTCCAAGAAGCACTAAAAGGAAATAGGATAGACTTGTATAAGTACAGGGACTGGAAATTTGAAAAGGGATCAGATTTTAAGAGGGAATTTGGAGAGAGAGATCAGTTTTCAGACAGAGATTTTAGAGATCAGTTTTCAGAGAGATTTAAGGAGATTTAGATCAGATTTTGAGAGAGATTTTAAGAAAAAATACACCTAGAGTGAGATAAAAAGAAAGAGAATCAAGCAGAAAATCAGAAATGAAAATCTGAAGAGGAAGAAGAAACAGAAAAGAAACCAAAAGAGAACATTCACACACACACACACAATCTGACACAGATACAACANATGATCCCCGTAATTATGAAAGGTATATAATACGAATATACGTACGCGTAATTCGTTTATATAATTGTAAACAATAAGTAAAAGTGGTAGTAAAATCATGCAATAAAAACGTATTTAGTAAAAATCAAGATAATTAAGCCAATAATAAAAACAGTTGAGCGACCGTGCTAGAACCACGGAATTCGGAAATGCCTAACACCTTCTTCCGGATTAACAGAATTCCTTACTCAAGATTTCTGGTTCGCAGAATAATAAACAGAGTCATATTCTCCTCGATTCAGGGATTAAAACCGGTGACTTGGGACGCCTTAAAATTCCCAGGTGGCGACTCTGAAATAATTAAAATCTCGTTTCGACTGTTCTTCAATTGGAGAAAACTCCCTACGCGCCTCGCGGGCACGGAAAAAGGAGGTGCGACAGGGAATATTCCGCTCATAAAACGGCACGTGGGACTCGTACACTCTTGGTCTAATGGGAAGTGGAGGAGCATGCTCCCTCGTCATCTCAGGTTCGACATACACTTCCTCCTCGTCATCACCCTCATCAGGGAAGGGTGTGTCATCTCCAGACTCATCGGCATTTGTTGTCATAATCACTATCATCTTCCTGATTCAGCGCATCTGCCAAATCACGAGTCAATATGTCATCTATGGGCAACTGTGTGAGGTCAGGAACATCAAGTTGCTCGTTTTCACTGCACAAAAAGAATAAAATGATAAGCTACTCAACTAGATAAATAATTTACATATAGCTATATCACTTTACTTACAAGTCATACTGTGTTGACGTTCTATGATGGACATTTTCTTGTTGGTGATGACTCCCGGATAGACCACCGTGGTCCAACATGCCAGAACTACGCATAATCCAACTAGGAGCGGGGTCATAACTTGTAAAATTTATATCCGGACGGTACCCCTATGAAAAATATGAGTGTTAATACAAATCCAATTCAAAAGACTTAAAATAAACATCACTAAAGCGTAAAAAAAATGAAGTTTACCAGTCGTCTTGTGAATTATATAAAGTCAAAAAATTATTGTGTGTCTGCTCATTCGCCGATGGTGACAAGTTTAAATCAAGGCAAGCTCTTTCATCAGGAAGCTGTCCGGTAAAAACTGCTCCAGAATAATCACCCGATGATGGGGGTTATCCCTACTATGCACACCCTCATTATCGGGAACGTCTTCAACCTTGACGTACATTTCCAACAATTTTATTACAATAAATTCCCTGTATTCATCCGGAATCCGCAAAAAATCTCTAAGAGTTTCATCATCTTTGATGTTAAACTCAGAATAATAAGCAAACTCCTGCGGAGTCACAGAATACGGAAATCTACCGGTTACTTTAAGGTTCACCGAACGTTTCTTCACACTCATTTTTTACGTAACAACGATACCAATTTATCGTACTCCATTGTAAGCGGCAATTTAACATGACATTGTGGAGGTGAACTGTACCTCACAGAGTTATTCTCCATTACAACCTCACCCCCCTCCATATAATGAAACCCTTATTTTTGGCTTTTCACACATTATAAAAAAAAATGGTTGATAAGAAGAAGAGAAGTATGAACGAAGGAAAGTTTTGAATGGATTTTCATAAAATGCTAACGCCTTTAAATAAGGTAAGTCCTAGGTTGGGGTGCAGAATTTTTTTTATATAAAATGCATTATAATACCACGTTTTATGTATTTGGATCATTGTTATGTCAGTTATCCGCAGAACACTTATTGGTGGGCCCAAAAATTAGTGTAAAATGCAGTATAATACTACGTTTTACACTAAAAAATAATTATTTATGTCAGTCCTGCAGAACACTTCTTATTGGTAGGCCCAAATTGAAGTAAAATGTAGTACAATACTATGTTTTCCTAAAACGTAGTACTATACTGCGTTTTCCTATAAAAAAAATAATTTTTTAGTAAAATACAGTATTATAATGCGTTTTACTTTAACGGCTAACTTTCTGTTAAACTAAAACGCAGTATAATACTGCGTTTTAGTTAGAAACGTAACTTTTAACGTATTTTGAGTCCAAAAAATCATTATTTCAGTTTCGGACTCCAAAAAGAGAACGTTATACTTTTTGAAGTTAAACCTTGTTTCACTTGTTAGCAAGATGCCGAAAAATTACACTATATATATAAGATAAATTCTAATTTTTATCTTTAAATATTATGTTTTGAATCCCCTTCAAATAGCCCAAAAGCATAGCTTAGTGGTCGAGGGGGTTCAAAATCTTTGTAAGGTTTCAATTCCCACTAGCTACAATTTTGCTTAACTTTTTTTTAACTCCCTTAACGGAATTTCTGCCTCTGCCACTACTTGTTAGATTAGCCCCTCGTATTGTCTTAATTGCAATTCTTTTTGATCTTCAAGTTTGTATTTGACTCCAACATCCTCGAAAACATATATCACAACATTGCAAGAAATCAAGCTAACACTATGTTTGGATCATTGCTACTCATCGTTTTATAATGTATTATATTGTACTATACTGTATTATATTGTATCATTTTATGAATACAACGTTTGAATAGATTGTATCGTTTGCTGTTGTTAAATAATATTTTTGTTGTTTGGTTTAACTGTATCGTATTGTACTGTAACTGATAAGTTCACTAAAAAACCCCCGATTATTTTAATAAAATTTATCAAGAATTACGTATAAAATAATTTAAGACAACCTCTTTCTACTAATTTATCGTTAATAACGTAGCTTGAAAACAAGAGCAAAAACCTGGAAAAGAAAAGGTTAACTAATATTAACAACAACAAAATGATAGAAAGAGACAAAGAATCGAACAGAGACTTGGATAAAAAGAACGAGTGAAACTAACTCTAGAAAAGATGGGAGAAGACAAAGTAGGTCAATAGGTTAGAGATTTGGAGTTAAAATAAAATTTAAAAAATAGAATTATAGAGTAATAAGTAAGGGCATAATTGAAAAAGGAAATAGAAAACGATTCCACCACATTAAATTCGTTGTTTCATAAATGGGGCTTTTGGTTGTTCTGAAACAATGGATTTAACAATACGATACGATTTAATTTTAAATAAATAATCAAAATAAGCATTATTTTGGGATAACAATACAATACGATGCAATGGGTAACAACCATCCAAACAAGCTGTAAGTATTTTCTCACCTCCCATCACATAAACAATTAATTTGGGCCATGCAAAACATAGAATTAATCCAGTTAAAACTTAGTGAAGAATTAAAAGTATGTTTGATGTCCAATCAAATACCGTCATATAACATGAAGGGGATGAAATAATATATATTTAGTTGTGGATTATAACTCGGGTAATGAAATGGATGAAATAGTATGTATTTGTTTGTGGTTTTGTGGATTATAACTCGTTTAGACAAGTCAAAACCACTAAATTTGATAATTTTTTTTGTTACAATTAGGTCAACAAGTTTCTCTCTCTATCCATTTCTCTTGTTCTTTGTTTCTAGTTTTAGCCCAAAATATAAGGTTGAGAATAAACCCAAGAGTTGCACTACTTTAGTCCAGAATTTTGATGGGTCAATTTGTTCATATTTACAACTTATGAGCTACTAATAAATTATTAAAATGATATCATAATCATAAAAAGGGAAATGCTAAAACAAAAACATATAACCCAGAAAAGGCAAAATGAAGGACGTCGCCTGAGAGATTCGAACTCTCGCGGGGAAACCCCATGTACTTAGCAGGCACACGCCTTAACCACTCGGCCAAAGCGACGCTTACTGACATGTAAAGCATATGATTTTATATAATCGTAGCAGTCGTTGAATTGGCATATTCCAGGAAAAGCCCTTGGACTTCATATTGCTTTCCAGCAGAAAACTTCCTTTTGCATTCTTCGATCCCAAGCTTTTACCGATCAACACAACGAATCATAACGCGATATTTGTGGTTTCAAAGTATAATCAGAAGCTTGAAAAATGGCGACAGTTAAAGCAGTGATGGGGAATTTGACGGTGGCAGAACGACAAGTACTGACGGCAGTGAACAGCGGAGCATCAAGTCTATCATTGGTCGGTTCCGGATTCATAGTGCTCTGTTATTTGCTATTCAAAGAGCTCCGCAAGTTCTCCTTCAAGCTTGTCTTCTACCTCGCTTTATCCGTCAGTAAATTTGCTTTCACCTTTTGTCTACTCTCTCTTCTTTCTCAATTCTTAGGGTTAGTTTAATTTTTGATAAATTTACCGAGAGCTAGTCAATTATTGTAAAATTGCATTTTACATTTTTCTTCCTCAAAATGTGGCTATATTTGAAGTAATTTAGTTTACGTTTTTTTTTCATTGAATCGAGTAAAATGTGTAGATGTAGTAGATCAGGAGTTTGATTCAGTGAGCTTGGAGGTTTGGAATGGAAATGCAATTGAATAGTCAAAATACTTCTTCATTTTTAAATAAAGTACCTAATGACGCAAGCTATGGAAAATTTTCTTATCGCGGGTGGGCTTAAATACAAAAGAATAAAACAATGAAACAAAGTACTTGAAAGTACATATAAAAGAAAGAAGGTAAAAAGAAGAGAGAAAGAAGAAAGAACATGAAAGAAGTTGATATCTTTAGTCGAGGTGCACGCAAGCTGCACGGAACACCATGGTTATAAAAAAATAGAAAAAGAAGAAGTTGCTATCCATGTTGGTTCTCTACAATTAGTATTGTGACTGTTCCAATATTGGTACATCTCTCACTGTCCCACCGTGGGTAATTCAATTGTTGGATCAAATGTATGTAGCTCAATTGGATGAGAACTTGCATAGATGAGCTAGTAGCTCTAATGTAAATGCTGTTGACTGTATCTTTTACAAATAGATTGTAACTCCATACAAGTAGTTGTCCCATCTGCTTGGGCTTCTCAAAGCTTTGATACAAGGGATCATTTTATTTGGCAAGTAATGCGGAAGTTTCTTGTAAATGAAAAAGAAAAAAAGATGACGCTTCGCAAAGTTAAAAGAAAATGAAAAAACAAGAAAAAAGTTTATATGCATATTGGTTATTTTGGATTAGTTATTGTGATTTGTGACTGCACTGTTCCCAGAATCTCGTGGTCTCTCTCCCACTGTAGCTACACTGAAATTAATCTGAATTCAATTTAGATCGTTGATCAAATTGATGTAGCTGCAGCGGGGATTAGAATTTTAGTTACTGAGCTAGTAGTTCTAATGGAAATGAAGTTGACTTTGTGTCTTGAAATTGTAGCTTAAACAGCTTAAAATCAATCAAGCTGTTATCTCATATCCCTGGATAATATTATATCTCTGAGCAATTTATTTCGGTAGGAGTCCAGATTAGAGGTTGCTGAATTTACTCTGTTTTAAGTTTAGTTTTTATTTCTTGGTTAATATATTAAAAGGAGATTGTTGCTGTGTTTACTCAAACCGAAGGGCTAATGCGAAGTATTCCAATCAATAGAAGGGAAGAATAGGAAGAAAAAATGCATCTACTATAAGAGCATAAGTGGTAATCATGTGTATGATTTTAGATAATGTATTATTAACTAATGGTGTGTGCCTATCAAGAAGATTGAATACTCAAATGTTCCTTTTTTTATTATGACTTGCAATCTGTCATACGTAGTCGTTGCTTTAGTGATTTCTGCTCTATATGGTTTAAGTTTCTCTCATTTGAAGACTTCTTTTAATTCATTTGAGTGCAGGACATGTGCTGCAGTTTCTTCAGCATAATTGGGTATGGCCACCTCTCTTCTATAAGTTACTTGTAGCAGGCCACAGGGAATTGTCATTCTAAATGGTTCTTCTTCACTGTTAACTGTGAGTTCTTTTGGTCATGTAGGGATCCTTCCAAGGGGTTCTTCTGTTATGCTCAAGGCTATACAACACATTTCTTCTGCCTAGCCTCTTTCTTGTGGACTACAACAATTGCCTTTACTCTTCACCGAACAGTTGTTAGGCATAAGACAGATGTTGAAGATTTGGAGCCTATGTTTCATTTATTCGTTTGGGGTATCTTTTTTATCAGAGACAACAAATTGGCTTCTATAATTGGTTACTATGGTTCCTTTCTCTGTTTCTGAATGCATAAACCATCTTGTTTAATACTGATGCTTCTCCCAGGAACTTCAGGAGTAATGACAGTTATACGATCAATTGCCAATAATCATGAGCATATAAGTCGGTTAGGCACTTGGTGTTGGGCACAAACAGGACATGCAGGAAAGGCAAGTATTTAGTGGTCATAATCTCTAGGTATCTGCTTTGCATTTTTCATGGTAATGTCTATTGAATTTTATTTGAATGTCATTTCCGTAGTTTATGAGCTTCAAAAATTGTGATAGTTTTGAAATACTGAAAACTTTATGGGATGGATTTCTATTACTTTCATGAATAAAGTTGACATCATAAAGAAATGCACGATGTAATTGATTGTTGATTGGCAAAGGAGTTCTCACATTTAATCACTTATTTTAATTCATTTTCCTTTTAAAGGAATCACAAGATAGGGGTAAAGTCTTCCCGTCTTCGTACATATTACCCTCCACTTGTGGGAACACACTGGGTATGTTGTTGTTGTTGTTCCTTTTTAAGGAAAAAAGACTTCTGATTTTGGTAAAACAGTACAGATAGATGGTCGTATTTCAGTTGTTTGGGCTATTATATTCTCTTTTAGCTTGAAAGAGCTTTTATCAAATTAACTTTGCCATGTTCTTTACTGCAGGTTACCCACTTCATCACATTTTATGCACCTCTTTGGGGTGCCATTCTTTTTAATGGTGTCACCTATTTTCAAGTAATACGGATGCTAAACAACGCAACTCGTGTATGTTACTCGTTGTCTTTGCCCTTAATAATTTATGATTCCTTGTATCGTTCATGAAAAATTGGGTTCTGAAGATAGTTGTTTCATTTCAAGTATGCTGATTCTTCTTCTAATATTCCAGATGGCAGTGGGCATGTCAGAGAGGTCATACCAACCAGATCCTCGGTCAGATAAGAAGGTACACAGAGCTTCCTCTGCTAAGTGAAAGTAAATCAAAATAATATCTTTGAGTATGGGGCAGAGCCGTCTCATTTACTTTTCTTGTTATATGCTCTGTTTATCAACTGTTACGCTGTTGGACATCTTGCAGGCACTAAATCGTTGGGGTTACTATCCCCTCATTCTTATAGGATCATGGTTTTTCGGCACAATCAACCGTATACATGATTTTATTGAACCAGGTCATAAGATATTTTGGCTTTCTGTTCTTGACGTTGTAATGGCTCAGCTCATGGTAAACCCTACTATCTCTTGATGAATTCTCTCTTTTCTCTTCTCTCTCATGTGGTTGTGGAAGCTGTACAGAGGGAACTGTTACACTCCTCAAATGAGTATTTTATGTCCTTATTGTACATCAGATAGATTGCAGGCAGTCATATACCTCTTTGTAAACTAGTACTAACAAGAAAATTCTCTCTGGAAAGAATGCTTTAGATCCTCCACTTCCACAATAAACAGAATTTCAAGAGTAATGCCACTAAGTATTTGCTACAACTAGATGGTGAATTTTAAACTGATTATTTTGTTAACCGAAAGCTGATTAGTTTGGTCTGAGTGCCAATGTTTATGAGTTAGGATTCTTGGTGGATATGAAGTTATCTCTGATTTTATGCTGATGTTTAGTTTTGTTCCACTCTTCCTTATAACAAGTTGGACTCGAAGTATTGACATGTTCTTTCTTGACAAATCTTCTATGCTTTGTTTAGGGTCTCTTTAACTCAATAGCATATGGTCTTAACAGCTCAGTCCGTAGAGCAATTTATGAGAGATTGGATCTGTAAGTCCTCCAGTTCTTTCTGTATTATACTATTCGTTTTGCGTTCAGTTTTTTGCAACATTAAATGGTATAGACCCTATTTGCCCCCATACATCTTTGCTTCCCTTTTTTCTTTTTCTCTCTCTTGGGTATTACTGTGTGATGGGGGAACCGAAATGGCAGTACCAAAGCCAGTATGCACTTTTATCTCTTAGTAACATTTGGTTTCAAGAGATTATAACTTGTCAAGATCGTTTGTGTTTTCTGCTCAATATTTTGATAGAGTTTTCCTTGTCTGAAGATGAATATCTACAGTAGTATCTAACTGTATGTTTATTTGCTCAAATCACCTTCATGTGTTTACTCATAGGTTTGTGGTTCAATATGTGTGTGACCTTTTCCAGATTACCAGAATGTTTTCAAAGATGGATTCCAAAGAGCTCGAGGTCAAGAGGCCAACAGCAGGATAGTGAATTAGTCTCACTAAAGATTCAAGATCAGCAATAAGCAATTAGTAGAATTTTGTGCTTGTACATTCATCCCAGTGCTTCTGCCACCACTTCCCTCATTGGACCAGCTTGACAATTGACAATTGCATTGTGACAGCTCCATTGCTCGAACCCAGGTTTTAGGCTCAGAACCTTCCACCAAATCTGCTTGCTCCATTTGCTTAATGCTTGGTCGCTTCTCCCTGATTTCTGAGTCTACATTAGTGCCAAAGTTGTTTTGTTGATAAGTTGGGGAGTATGTATCATTCTTTTAACCTTAATGCTGTCTTCTGATTGTTGCATCAGTAATATACTCCAGGAAATTGACCCAAGCGATTTCAGTATGATCAGCAGAAGACACATGACATATGATTTGCGTATGAAGCCTTCAATTTTAGACAAGGCTGAATATTTGTTTCTGATGTACCCTGAAAGAAAAAGAACTAGTGCTTTGTTATTTACTGCCAATGCTTGTTTTGAAATTACTAATTTCATTTATGAATCTCTTGATGATGTGAACGATGTAGGTCGTGGTTGAGGAATATTAGCAACTTGCCTGACTTGTTGCAATCAAATTCTCAAAGAATTTTTGCATAAAGCCTTTCTTTTTATTCTTCAGCATATAAGTATCGTGTCACTGCAACCAATCGTCAAAAAAAGAATGTCTTTTCAGACTGAAATTTCTAAAAGATATTGGACTTCAATTAGTACAAGATTACTCATTCTAAAAGCAATATGGAGACTGGGAAAGCGAGAGCAATTTGTTTTGATCTGCGGGTAAATATTTATTTCTTAAAATTATACTGTAAATGAACTCTTCTTATTTAGTAACAAAACTAAAAAAATTATAAATTTCTGGTATTTTAAATTTTGAAAACTCGTAATAAAAAACATAATAATAATAATGTGTTGGAGGATTACAACTAACATTTCTTTCTCGTCCAATCTTGAAATATAAAACTGAACCTGTTAGTCATTACTGTTTTCTTCTTATTGGAAAATTATATTCTTTTTATGGGAATTATTCTACTCATATTATAGCCCCACCCCACTCGCCAAGTGGGGTAATATACCCAGAAAAATCACACATCAAAAGTTTGTCCATGCGGTAATTACTAATTACTAACGGGGAAAAGTATTATTTGCAGTTCTGTCATGCTTCTCATTTTTGTCCATCCAAATAAAAATCACTCTACAATTTTTCCATTCAGATCACTTCGCATTGGTGTTAAAAAAAATTCCAGAAGCCAAACAACAGTTGGTTGGTTTGTCATTATTGCTGTTTTTAATATGTATAATGATTGGTTGTATCTCTTTCTCAGTAAATGCACAGAAAATTCAACTGTTATGGCATTATCAAGTAAAATAGCAAAAACAGATTTTACTTATATAGTAACAGAACCTTCAATTCCTATTGAAGCCAGCTAGCGGTGGAGTTTGCCTCAAAATTTTCAAGAATATTTTTAGCAAATATTTTCAAATTTTTTTAGAAACTGTTTTAATAAAAATATTTTTAAATAGTGTTTCGATTTATGCAAAAAGATAAAAACTTTTCTTTCTTAGTAGCTGGTTGAAAACATTTTGCTAAAATTAAAAAAAAAAAAATCAAAATTTTAAAGCAACCACCCCTAAATGAGACAAAAATTTGGGACAACAATAATAATGAAAATGGAGAAATGTAAATTTATAGTATTCAGATCCAGAAATACACAACAACAGAAGGAAATGAAAAAGATCAACAGGTTTACAAACCACAGATCCAACAATCTAAAACCCCAAAAAAAAAAAAAAAAAANNCACGGCAACAAAAACGCCGCCGTTAAATGACATAATAGCTAACATAAGCATATACCCAATCGCCGAATTAATCCCAAATAGAATCGCCGTAGCAAATCTCGCCGAATTCCACACACCGCCGACGGTCGGAAAAGAGTAAAGAAGAGGTGTATTCACGGCGGCGTTGGACGACGGCGGAGGGTAGTTTTTCTTGGAATTTGAAGACAGAATCTTGAATCGCTGACGGCGATCTTCCATGTACTGGTAAAAAACGGAGACGATGAAACAAGCGAGTAAAGCGAGGGCATAGCTTGACCAAGAATCGGTTTTCCAAAAATCGAACAAAAGGGTCACTTTGTTACCCCAGTAAAAGGTCATGTGCATCATTTTTGCTTTGATTTTGAGTTTTTGGAATTGTGATCGGAAGAGAAGGAGTTTTGAGGTGGGGTTTTTTAGGAAGATGATGGGTTGATTTGTTGGAAAAGTATGGACCTTTGAATTTGTTGTTGTTTTTTTGGCGGGGGG